GTGAAAAGAAGCTAACCCAGGGCTTATATGGTAATATATATAATGAGAGGCAGATATTATAAAAGAAGAAATGCTCAAATTAATAATTTAAGCATTTACCTCATGAATCTAGAAAAGTAAGAGCAAAATAAACCCAGAGCAAGTGGAAAAATGATATAGGAAAGAGAAGAGCAGAGATAATGAAACTGATAAATCTAATAAAGCATATTAAAAAAAATCCCTACAGTTAATATCATACTTAGTGGTGAAAAACTAGCTTTTCCCTTAATATTGGGAAGGAGGCAAGTCTGTTTGTTCTCAGCACTGCTATTCCTCATTCTCCTGGAAGTCTGATCAGTGCAATAAGACAAGAAAAGGAAATAATTAATATATAGATTGAAAAGGAGAAAGAGATCGTCTGTGTTTATTGTAGACATTGTTTATATGTTTGTCTGCACAGAAAATCTCAAGTAATCTACACAAAATTCCTAGGACTAGTGAGTTCACCAAGACTGCAGGATGTAAGGCCAAGAGGGAGGGAAGGAGCCTGTCGTTACACTAGTCAGGACTTGAACACAGATTTAGAAGTCTGTGCTCCGGGTCGTGGGGAGCTCACTGAGGCTCTTGAGTGGTCTGCAGACATGGGGAGGCATCTAGTCCAGCTCCACAGAAGGGGTGAGAGGGTGGGACAGGGCGCGGAGTCAGGGAGCCCTGTGAGGCTCTGTGGGGGGGGTATCGTGGCCTTGTGTTCTCACCTCCAGTCCTCACCCCCCACTGTCTGGTCTAGATGAGAATAGGAATCATGTCAAACATCTGTCACCGACCGTGTGCAGCGTGGCTAATGACAACATCACCCACCACCTGCTGGAGTTGCGGCATCCCAGTGCCCGGGAAATGGTTTTTCCCTGCTCCCCCCCAACCACAAGGGTGAACTGTAGGGGCCCTGGAGGGAAAGGAGCTGAGCTCAGAAATGGACTGCAAGATTCAGAGACACGGCCCTGCTCTGCCAGCTCTCCAGATGCTGACCATGTTCTCAGACACTTAGACCCCTCCTTCATATTGTGATCTGCATGTTTGAGGGACAACCTAGTTCTGACCCACACATAGCTGTCTGGCTGGAGGCTGGTGTGTGTGTGTGTGTGTGTGTGTGTGTGTGTGTGTGTATGTGCGCGTGCGCCCGTGCAGACGCTGAGGTTTTAGGGATGATAAGCTTCTCTGCTTTCCTCTGATCTCAGGGGATCGACCTGTTTCCACTGGAGCTGGAGAGGAAGGGACAATTGAGACCCACTTCTGTCTTGCTTGAATTACTAACTCCGGAAAACCACAGGCTACTTTGTCACCTGGCGGAATGGTTGTAGATAAAGGAAGGAGTAAACTTGTCCCAAATAGAGAGGTAACCTTAGAATATTTCTCTTGGGCTCAAGTGAGCTGCTCCCACGTCTCCAATGAACAAAATGTGCACATTGATTAATCACCTGATTACACGGGTAACAGTTGCTTCTGCTTTCCTTCCTGTGGGAGAGGAGCTCCTGCTCTTTCTCACCAGGTCCCGGTGTTACAGAAAGGGAAGTGGGGTCTGTGACCGCAGGAGGAGAGGGCGGAGGAGGGCACAGGGGCAGGGATGTGGCCGGTGGGGCTGGAGGGCAGGGGTGGGGCTGAGCAGAGGGCGTGGGGCGGGGAGGCAGGCCTGGGCATCAGCGGTGTGACTGGTCACCGAACCCCTGGAGCAGGGGCCCCAGAGAGAGAAGGACACGGGAGATGGGAAGGGTCCTGCCCAGACCATCGGAAGTGCCGCCCTGTGAACGAAGCGCAGCCCTGGAGGGACGGCTGAGGAGTCTGGGAGGGTGGCAGGTGGGCCGGGGGGTCCAGGAGAGGGGCCGTCAGGGACCCGAGGGCAGAGGGCATTGGAGCAGGAAAGGGGCATCAGTGGTGTCACATGGGGGTCACCTCCTAGCTCTCTAGGGGTCCCCATAAGGTGAGGTCAAGGTGGGGGCTCAGGTGTGGAGCAGGGGCAGCATGGAGACCGGGTGAGGGCTGCAGGGAAGGAGCCAGCAGGGTCAGGGGGGCGAGCCAGAGAGAGGAATGCAGGAGAGGACAGGTCCCCAGAGGAGGGCCTTGAAGTGCAGGGAAAAGTCCTCACTGAGCCCCGAGGAGCTCAGCGTCCTCCGTGGGGACAGGAGAGAGAGGGGCACAGGTGTCTCCCAATGCAGTCAGTTAACGCTAACTGTCAGGAACTAGAACTTCTGCTTTTTCCTGAGCAATAGGAGGCTGGGCCACTGGCCAACAGGACGGGACAGAAGGAGGTTTGCCAGGACACGGGACAGCCGAGGGCTGGAGAGACGGGCCCTGGGGCACGTTCCCTGGGCTGAGTCCTGGCTCCGGGGCTCCCGGCTGTGCGGCCTGGAGAGTCAGCCTTTCGGGCTCCTTCTACTGATCTGTAAAGTGGGCACAGCGATCCCCACCTCACAGAGAGTCCACGAGGACCGGGTGACTTAGGAGCGAGCACAATGGTCAGAGAGTGCGTGTCACCGAGCCAGCACTCAGCCAGCGCCGACGATTACGGATTCGCATTGTCTGTGAACGGCTCTCAGCACGTGACTGACGGCTGGGTGGTGTCCAAGACTGCGTGAGGCAGGATGGTGGGTCTCATGGCGAGCTTGTGCAGAACGATTCAGCATAGAAATAACTGATGGTTGGATCCACGCAGTCCCTGCTCAGAGCAGTGAGAGGGGGAGGAGGCAGGACCTGAGCTGTGGGTACCAGGCAGGTGTCCCCAGAGGGCGGGATTCTCCTGCTTCTTCCCGTTAAATCAAGCTCATGGCCTGGCCTGGCCTGTGGACCTCACCATAGACGGCAGTGAGAAGCTTCTCCTCTTGTAGATGAGGTGCACCCCTACCCTGGAATGCAGACAGAGGGTTCCTGGAACAGCTGAGGGACAGAGACGCCCCAGAGGGACCCACACAGACCCAGTGCTGCTGACATGACCTGCCCCAGCGCCCAGAACTGCATGGGACCCCAGGAGAATTACCTTAGTGAACACTGTACTGTCTGGAAAGGGCTACAGAGGCATGGAGGCCAGAACGTGAGATGACTGGGACTGACAGGCGCACACCCAGGCGC